AGTGAGGACTGGTGCCTTCAAAGACTGGGGAAAAAAAGGGGTTGCTTACTGACCTTAGCATATAGCTTTAACAGAAATCCAAAAACAGCTGCAACAGGCATGCCGACTAGATAGAAAGTTCCCAAGTTAGCCAACACAGCCAAATGCTGCCACCCACTTCCCCTGGCCACCCCTGCAACATATCATCAAAATCATGTGTACAAGAAACCCCAATATACACCAATAAGGTCTTATGGTCAAGTGTCCAAAGGACATTGATTATGAAAAAGAAAAGGAAATAAGTATGCAACACAATCTGAAATCTTTGTGCATTAGAACCTGATAGGACACCCTGTATAGAATCAAGTGCAATTGAGATAGCAAGGAAGGGTGTCATGGCCGCAAACTCGTTGATGATTGAAGAACTGTCACTGAAGAAACTGGCCCAGATGTTATGGCCGAAGGCTAAGGTGAGGATAAATGCAAGTGCAAGAAGGACAGAGAGCCTGAGAGTCACAGCCATGGCATTCTTAGCCCTTTCAGGATTTCCAGCACCCAACTCATTGGAAACCCTTGTGCTTTCAAAGTAAATTTCATTCTCTCAACATCCGAACTAGGGAAAAAGAAAGAAGAGAACTTTAGAGATTAATTATGTACTGTAACACTAACCTTGCTGCTGCACTAAGACCATATGTGATCATGTAGGCAATGGTTTCTGTGTTCGCGCTGCAAAAACCCGAAGAAGAGAGAAAAAAATCCGCAAGATCAAGCTCGACAAACAACCAAAACAAAATTTAGGACAATTTAAGAAGATGATAGGGCTTACCACGTTGCAATCAGTGACGTAGTTATTTTTGAATTAGGCATAATTCCAGCTAAGAATACAAGAACCTCGGAAGCCCAGTCCTCTAAACTGCCAAAAAAAAAAAACCATGAAAAATAAACTGGGGGATTGTAGGATTTATGAGTTTAATTTTAGGTAGAAAGCTTACAATGACCTTGTTGTTCAATCATTGAGAGTGAAAAGTTGGAAAGCTCACCAGACCATTGCTGCAGAGGACAGGGCTAGTCTCAAGTATCTAAGGATGAAACGGAACGACTCAAATGAGAATCCTTCCCATGTGTGCTTGAATTTCTTCGAATACATGACATAAATTGCTAACATAAGACATGATATCCACAACGAGATTGAAGCTGCCAATGGAGCTCCCTTGTAACCAAGACTTGTCCAATTAACCAACATGTACACGATGCCAAAATGAATCCCCATTGGGAGCAGAGAGAGCAGGATGAGGGGCGTTACTATGCTCTGTGTCTGAAGAAAAATCAAGATGTTTTGCAAGAAACCGTAAGCAAATACACCAGGAATCAGAAGCTTCATGTAGAGAGCAGCCATTTTACAAATTTGAGCATCCTGTTTAAGTAAGATGAGTATTGGCTCTGTGTAGAACCATAAGATGGATATGACAACAGCAAAGAAGCAGGAAATGATGCAGGATACTTGGAGGTAAATTCCCAGCATTCTGTATAACTTCGCACCAAATCCTTGGCCACAAAGTGTCTCCAGTGCTCCACTTAATCCTGTCTAAAGTAAGGAGGAACTCATAGATTATTTCCTTTGCTTCATAATAGCACTAATCCAATAAGAGGTAAGTAAGTTATTTACTGAATTATGAGACAGTCCAATAACATACCAATCTCTAACTTAATGAATCAAAAAAAATAAATAAAGCAAAAATTTTTAAATGCTTTTGCTTGTCTTCCTTTCCTTTCTTTTCTTCTTCTTCTTATTTATTTATTTATTTATTTATTTATTTATGAACATAGTGAACTTAAATTAATTTTTACGTTTTAAATTAATTTTTTTGGGAACATTTTAAGAGTGCATCCTCATATCATTTTGATATATTTAAAAAAAGTTAAATTTTTTAAATTTTAATCACAAAACTTAAATTTTAAATCTAATTTAGAAGACAACATTTACTTCCTATTAGGTCTAACTTATGGATATGCTTTTGCTTGTACTTGTTTAGTTGTTTTTCCAATATTATCACATGCATCGGCCCACTTCACTCTGTCAATATCCTCCGCCTAAGAAGTCATGATTCCTCAGGATCGAATTTCCTCATCTTCCACTCTCAAATTGTTGTATATTAAAAAACGCGGTTTTATATTAAACAAAGAAACCTTTGGTTTCAATTTGGCCTGCACGTTAAACTACCGTTTAGATATCAAAATTATCGAAGTACTTCTAATTAACGAATTGACACGTAGTTTACGTCAACTATTCTAGTAGCAGACTAGCAGGTAGTATAACATATGAGATGTAAATGCCTTCATATAGGAAAATGGTTTAAAACTAGATTCAACGAAGATTGAACAGCAGAGTTAGGATCGGCGAGCATAGTTAATAATTACCATGAAGGCAAAGCCGGTAGTGGTAGCCTAAGAATTGGCAAGGGTGGCGCCGGCTAGCTCTAGCTCCCCTAGGTGACTGGCGAACATAACGGACACCAATGTGATGGAATAGTAGAAAACATTAGTAAGGATCATTGGCAGTGCAAACAGAACTTGACTCTTCGCTTCTTCAACATCCAAAACATTCCCCCACCAACTTCCTTCTCCATGACCGCCGCCACCGATCGCCTTCAACAAGGGTTCTCCTGTCTCCGAAGTCGTGTCCAACGACATCACGACCACCTATCTGTCCACCTTCTCCTTAACGTACGGAAAGCCTCCCCAAGGAAACACTAAAGAAAGTCTGTAACTTGTGATGTAATTTATTAACTGGATAAGTATCCGGGCGTGGCTGCAGGACGGCGGGCCATGATACACAGAATAGGCTAAAATTTTAGGTCGATCTCATGGTGAGCATCAAGACACCCAGTGATGTTAAAAGGTTTTCCTTCTAGCCACCGAATGAGTCTTGGCCACATACAAGAACATGCCAAAGAATTCACGTATGCCTTGGTACAAATGAGCAAAACATGTTTAAAAAAAAAAAGA